ACACACACACACGCTGTTTCTTCCTGACATTTCTGTTCACACACTTCCTCTTCTCTCTCACACACACATAAGCTCACACACACTTTCTCTCTCTCTCTATAAACACAGAGTGAAGGCCAGGCACTGATGCTTTATCTTCTGGGTTTGAGTCTCAACAGAGGGGAAATTCCGGGGTCATCTTCCAAAACAGCATTTCCCTGTGGCCCTCAGTCACCGTGCTGCCTGTGCGCATCTCCAGGACAAGAATCTTCCTCATTCTGGCCCGGCCACCCGGCTTCTCACGCTCTCTGCCCTGATTAGAACCTGAGCTGGGGGCCCCTCCACTCCGAGTCTTCTGCACCGGACCCTGGAGAGGAGGTATAGGCTGGACTCTAGCCTCATGGGCTTCGTCTGTGTCCTCCCCCAGTGACCTCACCCAGTTTAACAGCTTCTAACACACATCAGTGCTCCTGACTCCAAGCCTGTACCTCCAGCCGTACCTCTTCAGCAAGGCCCAGGCTGACACCTCGTGCCCCCTTCATGAGGGCACCGACAGGCATGGACCGCTCTACAGGACCACCACCCAGTTATGCTGCCTCCACAGAAGACCCTTTCAGTCTCATCGCAGTAAATCGTGCCACACTCTGTACCCCCACCCTGTCCAGAGCCAGCAGTGAAGACCCCCTTGTTTCCTCCCCTATCTCTGAAATGGCTCCACTTGAGAGCGTCTCAGGCGTCTCTGAGGACAGCTGGCATCTGTCCAGCCTTACAGGCCCCCTAGGTGGGTCGGGCTTGCTTCTCAGCACCAAAACCTGCAAAGTGAGGAGTTGTTGGGATACAGCTGGTGTGGAAACTCATCTCAGGGTACCTTTCCCTAGGCACACCTCCCTTTAATGGCTTGAGGAAGGATGTAGCCCACAGGAGCAGTCTGTGTGGGTGGCTGGAGACCTGAGGGTGGTCTTCCCAAGAAGCAGGCCTCAGTCCTCTTAGGTACAGCAGGGAGAGGGTTTCACTGAAGCGCAAATCCCGAATAGCTGTAAGCAAACACCCAGGCCTGGGGTGAAGAAAAGTGGACAGAAAGGCATGAGATGGAGGCCATGGATCCTGATGATGTGACCACCTGCAGTGAGGGGCCTGCGGGAACCCACCCTCCGGGGAGCTGCCTTCTCCTGCTCGCTTCCTCCCGCTGCTGACAGTTAAGGGAGCTTAGCCAGTGCTCCGGAGAAAACAGGCCCTGCTGCTCCACGTTGCCCAATGCTGCCCTGGCCCATGGGTCCACCCGCAGGCCCACATGTCCGTCTGCAGCCTAGCCCACTCCACAAGGCTCCGCTCTGAGGCTCCCAGGCTCACAGGGTCTCCCCCCAACTTGCTGCTTCTTAGCTTGGAGCCTGGATTGCTGTGCTGGGAGGGGATGTTCACAGGGACCAGGGCAATCAGGGAGGCACTGACACCCCCACAGACCTGAGGCGTTAATGCCCCCAGAGGCAGCACGCAGGCAACCCCGGAGGCAAATCAGGGGCACCTGGCGGAGGTAACCGGGCCCGCAAGCATTTGCATCCCACGGTCCTGGCCTGCAGGCACCTCCCTCCCTGCAGGGCGTCCTCTCTCCGCCGGTGCAGCACACAGCCTCTCCCCGCGAAGGCTCCAGGGCGGATGGTGCGGTGCGGAGACCGCGGGATGCAGCCGGTGCTGGGCGTCTTCTTCATGCTCCTCTTCGTGCTGCTGTGTCTGCTCGGCATCGCGGCCAACAGCTTCATCGTGCTGGCGCTGGGTGGCGAGTGGCGGCGGCGCGGGCGGCTGCTGCCCGCCGACCTGGTGCTCCTCAGCCTGGGCTGCTCGCGCTTCGGGCTGCAGTGGGTGGGCCTGGCCAACAACCTGTACTACGCGCTGCACCTGGGCCAGTACTCCAGGGGCCCTGCGCGCCAGCTCTTCGGCCTGCACTGGGACTTCCTCAACACGGCCACCTTCTGGCTGGGCGCCTGGCTCAGCGTGCTGTTCTGCGCCAAGATCGCCAGCTTCGGCCACCCGGCCTTCCTCTGGCTCAAGTGGAGGCTGCCCGCCTCGGTGCCCTGGCTGCTGCTCAGCTCCCTGGCCATGTCCACTGTGGTCACCCTGCTGTTCTTCTGGGGGAACCACGCCATGTACCACGGATTCCTGATGGGGGAATTCTCGGGGAACCGGAGTTACCGCGAGTGGAGCCATAGGCTGGAGATCCACTACTTCCTGCCGCTGAAGCTGGCCACGCTGTCGGTGCCCTGCTCGCTCTTCCTCGCCTCCATGGCGCTGCTCATCAGCTCGCTGCGGAGACACGTGCGCAGGATGCGGCCCCGCGCCGCCCGCCCGCAGGACCCGCAGGACCCACGCGCCCAGGCGCACGTGCGCGCACTCAAGGCCCTGGTCTCCTTCCTCACCCTGTACGCGCTGTCCTTCGTGTCCCTCATCATCGATGCGGTGGGCCTCTTCACCTCCGAGAGCGACTGGTACTGGCCCTGGCAGATTCTCATCTACCTGTGCACCTCGCTCCATCCCTTCATTCTCATTCTCGGCAACCTCAAGCTCCGCGGGGCGTGCAGGCAGCTGCTGCTGCTGGCCAGGGGCTTCTGGGAGGCCTAGGCGCCTGTTCCAGATCCTCCAAGAAAACGGTGAGGATGCGGGACCACAGCCCACAGCCCGGGGATGGCCAGTGGGCAGACAGTGCTGGGCTGGGAAGGAAAGGGGGCCTGACCTTTCCCAGCGGCTTCCTCTTGTGGGTTCTGTTAAAGTGAGGAAAGGTCCGGGAACCCACACTGTCCAGCAGGTCAGACTGGACAATCGCGGCGTCTTCCTGCTTGTCCCTTCTGTCATATGGCTGCCTGCAGCTCACAGCCATGACTTTTGTTCCAACTGGTATTATCTGCCTGGGGGGAAGGAGGAGAAAGTGTGTGTGTGTGTGTGTGTGTGTGTGTGTGTGTGTGTGTGAGGGGGAGGGTGCAGGGACCTTAGGGCGAGTGGAATAGCCACCAGGAGGGACCAGAGTAGAGGAGAGCAGGCCAGGGGTCCTTCCTGTGGGGATGCCTCTGCTCTCCACGACCTGGAGAATCTCAGGGCCATGCATGATCACCGGACACCCTCCCTTTCTCCTCGCTCCCACTGTTTTGCCTCAGATTTTCCTTCCCCCTGAAATCTGAGTGCAGCCAGGCATCTCCATGCCTAGGATTCCTTTAGAGAAAGGCCACTGTCATTGCTCTTCCCTTTTCAGTGCTCCTGGGACATCCCCCCTCCTTATCCCAAGCAAATGTCACAAAGTCACAGCTGCATTGAATAAACATGACATTTTCATTCTGAAAAACAAAGATGCAAGTATTTCACTTAGTGTCTGTCTAAAAACTTACTTTTTTTAAAAAAAGGAGAGTTATCTTGTTCCATTTTATGTTTAAATATTGGCTTTAAAATTATTTGCTCCAATTATAGTGCAAAGGTTTTTAGAAACAATTTTGGATGTCTCTGAGGTAGGCTCAAATTTTTTTCTTAAAAACGCATCTATGTCTACATGTAATAGCTGTGTGTATGGAGGGAGGGTGGAAGGACAGACAAGAGAGGAGAGGAAGACCCAGGATGAGGTGCACTGACAGCGTAACTAGGGTAAACTCACTGCTGGAGTCAGTGAGATGGCTCAGGACAGGGCAGGCTTCAGAGCTATTGTATACAGGGTCGCTATGAGTCACAGGTGACTCCATGGCACATAACAGCAACAGCGTATGTATGTGTGGCAACAACAAGCATACACGTATGTATATGTGTGTAATTGTTCAATCTCGTTGGTATCAGGTGGATTCTGAGTGGAATCGACTCACAGGAATTCCAAGCTATCAGCCTCATGGGAACAGATGGGTACAGCTCTAAGCGGTGAATGGTGGGTTCAAAACCAGTGTGTGTGTGTGCGCGCGCACATGTGTGTCTGTTCATGTGCACATATGTAGTGTATAGGTGAATATACACATGCACGCATGTGTCCAGGTATGTGTGCACATGTGTGTGCGTGTGTGTGAGGCAAATGTAACATGATCAAGATGAAGTGAAACTCTGTAGATAAGGACTCGCTGGGAAAGGCTTCGCTAGAGCATAATCCTAGATGAGAAATTTATTCTCTTACCTGCATCTTGATATCAAATAAGGAAGGCGAGAGAAAACGGATGGGAGGTGTTCTGGTGGTTTTTTTCTCCCTTAAAGGCATAAAGAGGAAAGGAGAAAATGATGGTAGTTAGGAGTATTATATATAATAATTACATAGTATATTTATTATAGAATAGATTTTAACATTATGTAATTATTGAGTTTAATTAAAAATTAAATACAGCCCATTAATAGTATAATTCCGTAGTAATGGTCTCATTACCCATAATTATCAGGGACAGAGAATCGCTCAGTGCTCACTGGAGTGCTGGGTGCAGCGGGGCACGGCCGACGGCAGATCGCGGTGCATGGGAGGCTTCCTGGGGCTGGGGCTAACCTGAGCATGGTGCTTTAGACAATAGTTCCTGAAGTCTGCACAGCACACTTGCCATGGGTCCCACATTCTGCAGAACAGTCGGGTTCCAGGTCCCCACACTATGTTTGTTTGGGGTTAGGAGGAGTTGGACAACATCTCAGAGAAGCCGAGGAACTCCATCGGGGAGCCTGCTGGAGACCATTGGAAAGTCCAGGTCTTTCCGAAGGGCCATTACCCACCTTCCTTCCAAGCACCTTTAGTACCACTCCCTCCCTTCTTTTCCTTGTTCTCCAGGAGACCTGAGGGGGTCACCTTCTGCACCATCTTGGACTCTGAGTTTTGTTCTCCTGTGCTTTAAGCACTGATTTATTTTCATGGAAAACCCCAAGTACCCACAACAGATGAAATGATGCACTCACTGTGCCCCATACACACGACACAGAGTGGTGCTGCATTCAGGAAGAGCGGAAACCCCTGGAACACCTCCTAACGTTTCAGGATGGATGTCAGGCTGAGTGGACCAAGGTATCACAGAAGGGCAAATGCTACATGAGGCCCCGATTAATAAAAGTCAAATGTACATAGAGAAACATTCTCTGATGGATGGTTACCAGGGAGCAGAGGGAAATGCCACATTAATGTGAGTGAAGGGAAAAGCCAACCACAGCAAGTGGTGGAGGCTTGCTTAGTATTTCTAAGGCCAAGGGAGACCTGGAGCGGCGACAAGAGATCAGGCAACAGAAGTTGCAGTGTCAATGATAATCTCCAAGCAGGTACATGGGCAGAGGCACAAACTGACCAGGCATGTGTGGGCGAACGTGACTACAAACACCACTACATATAGGTCTGGAAGAGGACATTTCTACACAGTACTCGGATATAAATACACGTACAAATCTAGCAAAGCAAATGGGGCAAGGCCTTGAAAACTTCTGAAATATAAGCAAAAACTTGGAAGAAATGAGTCACTGGACTTTGGTGCACAGTCTCTGGGGACAGCTACATCAGCTGGCATGCTGTTATCCACAAGGCAATGCTCAATATCCTACCGTGACTAGAATCTTAAAAGTCAGCCAGTGGCCATCTATAATGCCTCTACTGGCCTCTTCTCTGGAGCAAAGGAAACGTAAGAACAGAAAAGGCTCAAGGAAACAATGAGACCAGAAAAACTAGATGGTGCCCAGCCAACTCTTCCTGGGGCCATAGACCCTCCTGAACAGAATGGGAGGAAAATGTAGAAAGAAATCCAATCATGGAACAGACTAGTTCTACCTTGTTGTTATCGTCATTGTTGTCGCTAGGTGATGTCAAGTTGAATATGACTCATAGTGACTCCTGTGAACAAAAGATCTGAACCCTGTACTATCCTGCACCATCCTCACACTTCCTGACACACAAGAGCCCGTTACAGCAGTCACTGTGTCTATCCACCTGGTTGAGGATCTTCCTCTCCTTTGCCGACCCTCCGCTCTTCCCAGCATCATGTCCTTCTCCAAGGAATAGCCCCTCCTAGCAACATGTCCAAAGTATGTCAGGTCAAGCCTCATCATTCTTGCCTCCAAAGAGCACTACAACTGCACCCTCTCCAAGACGTATCAGTTCGTTCTCTTGTCCGTCCATGGATGTTCAGCACCCTTCTCCAGCTGTTTGGGCATTTTTGATTGTGTTAGCAATCAAGTATAAGCTGATTTGCTGTTTCTGATTTCATTTACAATCAGCTGTGGGTGGTAAGCCTCTTGTGTAGGCAAACAGGATCTGGTGGGTGGGCCTTTGTATTTAAAAGTCAGTTGGGTCCTGACAGATCTCATAAAAAAGTAGTGGAACCCCGGGTCTTTGAACCTCAGATATTCTTCAAACCAGGAACTAACCGCCCCCCCCCCCATCTCTGCTTGGACAGTCACTTTGCAGTCAACAGACATGTGCAAGGTGAACACCACCACCAGCAAGGAGCACGCTCCTTAGAACAGCCAACCACCGGAAGACTGAAAGGGCAGCATTTGGCCCCAAAAGGAACTCAGAGCAGGAAGGAGAGGGAGGAAGTGAAGTGGGAAGGGGCAGTCACACTGCACAACTATCCCCCACGTCACTAAGCAGAAATTGTATGAATTGTTGAATGGGAAATTTGCTTTGTAAACTTTCACTCAAATCACAAAAAAGAAAGGAAAGCTTGGGCGACTGGCCTCGGCTGCCGTCTCTGGAGGCTTTGGTAACTTAGATTGTGTTTGGTGAATCAAGATCAGAACAAATTCCTGCAAACCACAACTCCCTCCCACCCCCACGCCCCCAGGTGGGGGCCTCTTGAGATGGGATGACATCAGAAAGGCAGGGCTATTATCACAGGAGACACTCACAAGACACCAACAGAGTCCTGCTTCCTGTCACCCCTCGGATGTCACCCATGTGGCGTGGCTGTCTTTTCACAGTAACAAATATGAGGGCTCTCACATATAGAAGGGGACTCTGGCCATCACGCCCTTCCATCTACACGCCTTGTTTACTTGTCCACTCTGCCATCCGTTTGCTCACTTCTACATGTTCTAGACAGCTCCCACTCTACACCCTCTAGCTTCTCACCCGGCCTTAGACCTGAAACTCTACGGGGCCTTTGAAGGCTTCTGGAGTCATGGGAAGGGGGAGTTCACAAACTCCCTCCAGCATGAAAATAGGAGAGGGTGTTACTTGCAAAGAAGAGAAAAGGATGTGTTATCAGTTTGGCGATGAGGAAGATAGTGCCTTGTAGAGGATGCTGGTGCATAGCACACGGGTATTGCCCTGAGAACTGGAAGATCGGTGGTTCGAAACCACCCGCTCACTGTTCCACAGGAAAAAGATGGGTAATCTCCTCCCATAATGATTGACAGCTTCAAAACCTGATAGGAGGTACGGACTCAATGGCCTGGGCGGGCTGGGGGGCCTGGGCTTGCCCATGTGAAGGCCTGCGCTCTCCCACCCGGGCTGAAGTCTTGTTAGCGGAGCCCCTGCTGTGCGCACTCCATGTTCCAGCCTCACCTCCTCCCCAAACCTCCTCAAAGTGAAATTTTGCCATTCCCCAGACATTCCTGAGTCCATCCCTTCTCTCACTGTCACCCCCACCCCCTAAGGTGCCTGAAGTCGACATTTGCCAAGGCCGGGTTCAAATCTTGTT